TATGTATGTAAGTGCTACTGAGAACACAACAGGAACAGCCACGCTTGCTACTTTTTAATATTGTGCTTCTTAAAGGTATAATGCTCTTACATTCCTCCGCTTTACTTAACAGCATCTTCCTAATAAATCTCTGACGTGTAAATCTATAAATAAAAAAAATTCTCACAGCTGTATCCTGCATTGTCCTTCGGCTCCGCAAGTGCAAGGACACGCCCGGACATGCTCAGGAAACCGAGTCGTGTCTCTCCCTGAAGCCAGGCGTTCGAAACCGGGCCTCGAACAGTCACTGAATCGGTTCCGCTTTATTGAACTGGGACACTGTGTGGTGTGTGCGCGTGCGTGTGTTTGAATGTGATATATAGAGGTCTGTCGATGCTGAAGCTTTTGGCGTCACTGAGAGGACAAGACTAAAAGAAGTTTCGGGCAGAGGCATGTTACTAGTTCGTATGTTTTATCAATGCAATGTAATAGATTTTACATGGTTTATTAATCTTCACAGCATAGATTACTTTTCCGCTAGATTTTGGCTACAGTAACCTCCTCCTGCGATCAAGACATTTATTTCAGGTTGCACTGTCTAATTCCTGCCACTTCTTTACAATATTGATGTGACAATGGAATGAAACATAAATGGGGAACTTTTTTTCTCAGATAATTCCTGTCACTCAGAACTCCGTCCCGTATATCAAAACTTTTACTCCTATCTCATTTTTCTTCCGTTTCCTCTTTCGTATGCTTATTAAAAACTTTATTTCTTCCTCATTATTATCATCATTGCTTTTTCTTGCACGCTCGTTTTGACTCAATACCTTCGTTGATCAGGGGACATTCAGAACAACGTTTTGTTTATTTATTCTTTGATTCATGTCTCATTCATTCATTTATCTATCTATTCAAAACTTTCAAATTGCGTTTCCTTTCTTATCTATGGGCCTGTTCTTCACAGTTAAAAATCGTTTCGAAGTTCATTACAACCTTAAAAGGATACATACCATCTGATTGAAAATTGAGAAGTCTAGCTTCAGAAAATTACAAAAAATGACAGCTAAGTAAAATGATCTTGAATGATTCCACGCGCACACGCGCAACACACAGCGCACACACACACACACACAACACAACAAACAGACACAAAAACCCACGCCCTCCTTTCGGCTGTCTTCTTTTCCTTTGTTTTAACGGGGTCAAGTTCGCCAGGTTCCTATTTATACGATCATTCATTTACCTGGATCAAGCTAACTAGTGCCATTGGAGGGCTCGGTGCCAGCGAGAGCAACACACTGCCAACGAGACAAGCTGTTTTCTTATACATTTCTTGTAATTTGCTCTCTTTTATATGTAGCCGGACAAGCATTATTTTCATTGTTCGTTTTTTTAATTATTATTTTGATTTTCATTATTTCGACTATGATTTATTATTCATTAATATTTTTTGCATTATTTATTGTTATTTTGATTATTTATTTATGATTATCTATGATTATTTTTTGTATTATTTTTGATTATTCATGATGTTTTTTTGATTATTTTTATTATTTTGATTATTAATTTTCATTATTTTGGTTATTCATTTTTTTATCATTTACGTTTAAAAATGCAGTCTGGCTCTTCAATCGGCGCCACGTGGAGGAATCAGCCTCGCGTGACTGAGTGGCACTTGTCACTCAATCTGCTTTCGAGGCTTATATCATCCTATCACTTCGATAAGGATAGTGTTGAAAAAAATGGGTGGGGGAGTTTTGTGGGGCGGGGTTGCTATGCTAAAGACTATCCTTGACCTCCTGTGTGAGTCTCTATCTCTCTCTCTATCGCTTTCTCTCTTTCTCGCTCGCTTTCTCTCTCTCATTTTCTCTCTCTCTCTCTATCATGTCTCTCCTCTATTCTTCTCTCTCTCTCTCTCTTCTCGTCTTTCATCTCCTCTCTGCTCTTTCTCTCTCTCTCTTCTCTCTCTCTCTTCAAACACACAACCACACACACACACAAACACTCACTCTCTTCAATCACTCACTCACTCCTCTCACTTCACTCAGTCATCTCATTCTACTCACTCTACTCTTCCTATCTCCTCTCTCATTCTCTCTCTCATCTTTTCTCTCCTTTTCTCTCTCTCGCTCTATCTCTCTCTCTCTCTCTCTCTCTCTCTCTCTCTTCTTTTTCTCCTCTCTCTCTCTCTCTTCTCACTTTCTGTTTGTCTCTCTCTTCTGTCCTCCCAATTTCTACCCCAACCTGGCCATTTCTTATATGTAATTTTCCTTTAGGTTTCCTTACCTTTTTTCTTCTTACTGTTTACGCGGCTTTTCATATTTTTTTTCATCTCTCACTCTCCTTCGGTCTCCTCTTCTCTTCTCTCGTCTCTCTCTCTCTCTCTTCGTCTCTCTCCTCTCTCATCTCTCGCCTCTCTCTATCTGTCTCCCCCTCACGTCACGCTCTGTCTAATCTCTCCTCTCTCTTTCCAGGCATCCTTCTCTTCCCACACCTCTGAATATGAATACAAATCTAA